AACAGCTGCTTAATAATTCCGGGGGAATGAGTCCTCTGGGAGTTATTCAGTTGATTGTCAATTGAGTGATCGAAAATGGTTTTGACTCTGAATATAAATAAATAGGAAAAAGAATTCAGGTTTACCTCAAAGGGACGTTGTCACCATTTTTAGCATGATTCTGCAAATCCCAAAAACATATATCGATCATTGGAAGCTGAACAATGATGGTTTAATTTTGTAGAGCAGTACTCGACAAATGATTAAAACCCATTAGGAAGTGAGGATGGCTAACGATGGCGAGGATGGAAAACGACTGTACTGACATGGATTTTTGAAAAAGCGTCAGGATGTCAGTTTTTCAAAGGTTCAAGTTTGGCTCGAAAATCGCTGAAATTTTGCAAAAATGTTCCTGCAGTGTGGACTTTCTTCAAGAAATTGCTTTTAATCATTTAGTTTGAGCTAATTAAGATCTTATTAAATAAATTTAGGGACCATTTCTTGAATTTATAACAGTTTTAAGCAAACATATCATGGGTGTCCCTCTAATTCATAGAAAATGAATGATGATCCGAGAATGTTCATAATTGTGTCAAAATTAAGACAACAATAGGCGAAACTAGCCATCTCAGACTAGAATATGCACATAAGGTGGCTCTCAAGTACAGTGTTGATAACAATGAAGAGGCTAGAGAAGAAACAAAAAGAAATACTCAAGAGAAAAGGCAAAGATTTGAGTCCTCTGTTAAGGGAAGGTGTCAGGCGTTTGATGTAATATGACTCTTTGTGTAGGAGAAGATCTGAATTGCTGTCGCAGTCTAATACTGTGGAGTTGTCTCTGACTAATTGTGCAAAGTATTCTTTGTTACAAGATTCAAGTGGAAGAGTTTAAGGTATCCGGTAGATTACACAAATTTCGCATGAAAATTAATTGTTCACCGAGTGTGCAAATGTTTGTATATTGCACTCTCTTTTGCAGAGATAGTCTTTGTTGTCCTACTTGGAATACGACAATTCATTTGTTCAACTCTTCGAGAAGCCATGAGACGGTTTGATTGGCGGTTCGAGGAATGTGCCGGAAATATTGAAAGCTGATAGGGAATATGATAGTGATTTTCTGACGGAAATAAACCCAGTGATATAGATTAATTCACTCGACCCACTTGACAGACATTGAAAATAAATTTCCGCAATTCCTCACTTTCTATCTCCGTGTAGGTTTTTTTTTTTTTTGCGTTTTTAACAAAAACCTGAGAACTTTTAGCCTGCGGTGCAGCTGCATGTGTCACAAACTCCTCGATGACCGATAGTGTAGACTGCTTGTGACACAGTTAATAATCTTACGTCACCCAAATTTTAAGCCAAAAGGTGATTAGTTCAATCGGTTGTGATAAAACTAAACTCTGTTAAAATTAAGAATCGATAAAAATTTCGTTTGAAATGATAATTGGGTAAGATCTAACATTTATCATTGTTTTATCATTAATTTAGAAGCCTATAAAAGAGGCATTTTGTAATGTCGATCAAACTGAATTCTGAGCTCAGTGCAAGCGACCGGGCTTTGTTAAATAGCTGCCATTGTGAAAGGAGAGCTGGTTTGTTCCTCAAACTCATATCGATTCATTTCCTAAGCTATTTACACCCCTGTCTCTGAAATTCACCCTCACATCGACCCAGTAAAGAAAAATTTATCAGTCAGTCATTACGTAGAATGATTGCCATGTCATCTATTTATTATTATCGAAATCAATTTGCTGAGGAAATGGCTGATGGTTTAAACGATATGATCTGTGTCTTAAAACGATTTACCGTGATTAACCACTGTCCAGTGAAGAGGCAAGATACCGTAAAATTCCGGTTATTAACACTCCGGTTTACAACCTCCCCCCGGTTACAAGCCCCCTCCCTGGTTATACCCGCATCTCTATGTATACCAAAAAGTATCTCCTGGTTATAAGCCCTCACGGATATAAGTCCCCCTTCACTTTGTGAAGATAATTCATACAACGACCTCTGTGTTTCGGTTCCTTGTGTTTCTTCTTTCCAAGAACATAAAAGATATATTTTTATAGTGCTTGATTTTTGGTTTCATCAATATTTCGAAACGTTTTCTTATACCGGACACGAAGAAGCTCAGCAAAATAAGCAAATGTGAATAACACCAATAGTCAGTCCATCTCAGCATTGTCTTCCCCGCCCTTCCGCAGAAAGAGTTTCTTTGAACGTGCAGGCTGGCAGGGCGGAGACTGGGGAGAGGGGAAAGAAAGCGCTGTGATAAATATACCAGAATCCAATGCAGTGTATCGTTGTCTGATCCAGATCATTTGAGGCAATTCTTGTTTTGTTTGACCGCGGTAAAAGAAACTGGTAGTGGCAAGGATCACTCAAGTTTCTTCTCTAATCATTGATCGCAACGACCAATGATCATAGAAACTATTTTTAACGAGCCTTTAAAAAGGGAACAATCATAATCAAGTTGGAGCATTGATTTACACGAAACAATTGACCATATTCGTGTTCCCGGTATTGGACTGGAACTAGCATGCAACTGAGGCTAACGCGAGGAGTCTTTCCAAACACAAATGACTTAATCTGTCTAATCTCTTTTTAATGATATTCCCCCACTTGAGCCTCCATTGCAAGCTGTTCGGGTCCAATAATACGAATGTGGCCTACACGCAAGTGTGTCGCAAGTGTGCCGCCATTGACAAACTTGTACTATTCGCCAACCTCAAGAAAATCATTCCAGCTTTTTGATCTTGTACTAGCAATCGCACCGCGATTGCTGAGAGGCAACAAGGAATGGTTTTTATTACAATTAACTTACAATTTACGTCAGCCATCATGGCAGATTTATTGTGCCTATTGATTTTTTTTTCCGTTCAATGCTTATAATGGAGGCTGCAAATGGATGTTGTTAAACGAGGCCGACGCGCTTTTAGGTCCCCAATTGTGCAATAATCTCGTTCATTGGCCAAAAATGCCACGTTTTGAAGCAGTCAAGACTGATTTTCCGGTTATGTCTTGATTTCTTTTGCTTTTTAATCCACAATCCATTTAAAACGTCGTAATGCTGTAGAGTGTGGGTCAAGAAACTCAGACTCCATTTGTCTCTTCCATTTTTCCGAACCCAATTAAGATGCCACATTTTTTATAAATTTCGGAGCTTTGCTCCATCTGTACTCCGTTGAATCAAAGAAACTAAAATGACTTGGTGTCTAAAAATCTTGAATTTAGACGTGTTTCTGTCCACGATGTACCTCCGTTTTCTTAAGAGCTGTTGACGTCAAAAGCGGCGACTGCAATTCATAGCCAAAAAGAACAACTTTTAAAGTCGATGTTTTGTTTTTTCGGCGCTAAAAGCAATAATTGAACTGTGAACCAAAACTTGAAAACACCAGGTGAAAATTAAAGAATTAACAAGGGAAGCATAATTTAGATACTCAGATCAGTGCTGTATAAGCAATGAAAGTTGAGAGAAATTTTCACTGGAAGATTTAAAGCGATGAACGAAAGCAGGCTAACCCTCGAGATAATACCGCCTAAATGCAGTATTTATATTTTACTGGGCGGAACACTGCCACCTTCTGCCACTGAAGTCAAAGCCCTTCTTATTTTCTTTGCAGTAATCAGCATCGTCGCATTTCCTTTAACTGCCGCCTTAAACGTCTTGGTTATAATGGCCCTGAAAACAAATTCCCAAATGAGAGCCAGCAAGTCGTGTACACTTCTCGCGAGTTTGGCCACGACCGATTTGATGGTGGGTGTGATTGTTCAACCCATGTTCACAGCGTTAATGATAACCATAGTTCGAGGAGAGACAACGACTAAAACGTGTACACTGCAAAAAGTCGTCCAATTTTTCACGAGTGTTCTGTGTGATACTTCTCTGATCCACCTTGCCTTAATAAGTGGGGAAAGATATCTAGCCATGAAGTACACTTTATCGTACAATACCGGACTAGTCACGGAGGCTCGTTTGCTAACTTGTTCTGCACTGGCCTGGTTATTTTCCCTTATTCTACACATTCCTCTTATTATTGACAGGAATTTATTTTTCATCATCAATAACACATTTGTACTCCTAACTCTCGCCATCATTGTTTTCTGCCAAATCACCGTCTGTCGTGAAGTTCGACGACACGAAAAGCAACTTTCAACTCAGCAAGTTACGGAAGAGGCAAGGCAGAAATTTCTGAAAGACAAAAAGGCTTTTAAACTGACAGCTATCATCGTTTCATTGCTTTTCATCTGTTATATACCTGTGTGCGTCTTTAGAGTTATTCTTATAAACGTTCGCAGTATCATGTCTATACAGACAGCGTATGCATGTTTCTTTTCAGCCGTGTGGGTGGTAATAATGAACTCGTTCCTAAATCCAATTGTTTACTCGGTCAGAATGAGACAGTTTCGCGTAGCGTTTGTTGATTTGAGGTGTAGACTGACTACAAACATTGCTGAAGCGGAAGAAATTGAGATGGAAGTGTTTGGATCGCATAACGCCGTAGGACAAGCAGGACAAGGACGCGAAGGAGCGCAGCAACACGCAGAGCAAGGAAATGTGAACAACACTAACGATGGCAGCGATGAAATGCTGCATCAACAGGAAAATCATATCGAACAGCTAAGCGACAACTCGATCATAAAACCTGTACACCGCCGCCATACTATATAAATCGCGCAATGAATTTAATCAATAGACATTATAAATAGTTTCTTAACGTTGCATTATTTAAATACTTATGTGTTTGCTCCAACTAGTGTGAAAAATAAATGGAATTTTTAACCTCGTTCCCAGTGCATGATCTATCCTTACTTCGTGACGTCAGGAGTTGGCCGCGAAAAACACTGAAGGGAATGGTACCAAAATCAATTGCTTAGAGAGAATGTTTTGCTTTCTCTGAAGATCTCCTCGCACCATCATTTTTCTTTCAGTATTTTACATCATTGTGGGAGGCGCGGTGGCCTCATGGTTAGTGCGCTCGTCTCCGGATCGAGCGGTTCGGGTTCGAGCCCTGGTCGGGGACATTGTGTTGTGTTCTTGAGCAAGACACTTTACTCTCACAGTGCCTCTCTCCACCCAGGTGTATAAATGGGTACCGGCGAACTTAATGCTGGYGGTAACCCTGCGATGGACTAGCATCCCATCCAGGGGGGAGTAGAAATACTCCTAGTCGCTTCATACTACAGAAACCGGGATAAGCTCCGGCCTGATGGGCCACTTTGCACGTATGCAGACTTTACCTATTTTACATCATTGGTTGGTGTATTAAACAACTTCTTTCTGTCTAATGTTTTATCCGCTGTAGGTATTTTCTCTATTTCGGTTTGGCCTTTTTTATCAGCCCCCTTTCCGAGGGCGAAACTACCCTTCCATTTCCTACCCTCGTCTAAACTTCTTTTTTTTATCAGCGAAGTGGCAGTGGGATTTGAATGTTGAGTGCCTCTTTCCTCAATAAAATGGCAGTCTACAAAATACGAGACAGGAGAAAAGTACCTGTCGATGAGTTTCTATAAATATAATTGAGAGTAACAATAATTCGTAATTATTATGACTATGACATTAACATCAAAAGGAGGCGAGACAAATCACTTACTATCTTTGGTCTAGAATAAAAACTACTTAAAGGAGCTTAGTCACGTTATTTTAAGTTATTTTAGCTGGGTACAAAATTGTACCTTTAAATTGAAGAAAAATTGAAAATAGTAGTTTACTGAGATAGAAAAACACTAAAGAGGTTTTACAAGAACTTAAAGGAAGGATGGTCAAGGATGGAGAAGATTAACACGGATTACAAACGACGAACTTGAAAAATTTAGGCTTACTTTTCAAGATGCGTAAAACGTGACTTAGTTCCTTTAACATATCATATCATCTAGATTGTTAGCCTTTACAAAACGGAATACAAGATGACGACAGAGCGACCTATCTATGTTAAAAATGTGCTTAAACTCCCGAAAGATTATTTCGGTAAATTACTAGTTTAAGCAAACGTTATTTTCTTTGCCTAATAGCGAAATGATATTGTAGAACAATCGCAGAACAATTTTAGTGAAGTTTACTTAAATCAGAACTTCCCTATTGTTGCTTACCTTGGTTTTATTTCCAATTCTCCGTCGACCAGTCGATTGTTTTTCTCACTGAAAAACTTCCCAATAATTTGTTTCTCAATATATTTTTTCGAGGATCTTCATTTCAAAAGTACTGATACAATTCAGAATTACTGAACAGCTCATTTTTTCTAGTTTCCTCTGATTGACCTTGAAAAGGCTTTTCTGCCTTGAACTACCTTTTTAAGAAAGCTCCGTCAGTTGTAAAGCAAACAAAAGTGGGGCAAACACTTATCGACAGTTTTATGAAATTACCAAAAAACTGACAGCCTTGTTTATACAAACATAGAAACAGCAAACTAAATCGACGAATCCAGGCCACAAAATATTGGGCGTTTATCACAAAGGGAAATGCTCAAATGTCCCAGTAAGTCGACACGAAGATTTAAATTTTTCTACGTAAAAGCTTTGAATAGTAATTATTTCATTGCCTGATTTGTAAATGATGAAGCTTTTTCTCGTATATTCCGTGATCCTTCTCAGTTACTGACTGAATCTTATCACAAACGTCAAAAACTTTTAAAAGGGTATGTGCACATGTAGGCCGGTGTATAATTGATCGGGGCATCTTCAGGAAAATAGACCATTAAGCTGCAAAATAATAGCTCCTTTGACTAGACTCAGCACATTTTCCTTCCTTCAAAAAAATTTAGCTTGTATATAATATATTAATTGACGCAGAAACCCATGTTATTCTGATAGAATCCATGACTCTTACTTTTTTTTTACAGGTAGCGTCATTCTGAGAGTGATCAGACATTTGCACGGCACGAAAGAATGATATTTCGCAATTACTTACGAAAATTTTGTTTCAATTTCATTACTCCCCGAAATTCCAAAGGCTAAGCAAACCAAGATTAACAGAAGTTTGTTCTTGATTCCTTCTGAATCGATAACTCGGAAAATGTATCTTGGGAACACCTTTCTTTTAGTATTTACTTTGGTGATCTTAATATTTCCCGGGTCCTGGTTTATTTGCCTTCAGATATATTATTAGTTGATTATTACCAACAGTCTGCATAATCAGCTGTGTAAACATGCTTAGTTTTTAAATTAATTTGACGAGGGCCGACCGAGGGAACACTTATGCCTAGTTATGCCTTGTGACGACCGTTTCGGAAGTCAGAGAAGCTTCTCGAGACCAAGAGTTTATCATGATAGTCACTTGTCGAGACACACCAGTGGTGGATCTAGGGAAGGGGCCCGGGGGGTCCGGACCCTCCCCCACCCACAGAAGGAAGAAAAGCCGACAGGGCAAGCAAAACAAAACCGTGCC